ACTGAGACTTGGTGGCCTCTGTTAGATCCATCAGTTAGCTTGATGAGGGTGGATGAGTGCAATTTTGGGCCAGCTATGGATCCATTGGCTTGCCATGGTGCCCAGCCCATATTCAATTAGCTAGTCATTCCTCAAGCACACTCTGATGTTTTAGAAAGCCTCTTCCATTGGCAGGATGATAAAGAACGTTGTTTCCCTCTACCAGGCACTGGGCAAAAAAGCCATCAAAGAATCCAGTGGGTTTTCCTCTAGAGCTGAAGTGGAGAATCTGGGATTACAGTGATATCAGTGTGTTTCTGAAAGGCGTCATGAAACAATTCAGAGGTAACAAAAAACAGCCGCAGGGGTTTTACGCTGGATGACATTTTGATCCCAGAACATCAAAGGGAGATTCTGTGTTAGTGTCAGGAGGGATCAAAGAGGGATAGAGTTCAGGGTCAGTGGAAGAAACACCTTCATTTCTCTGTAGAAAGGGCTCTGCATCTTGGGCACATGGAGGGAGAACAGGAGCTTTCTGATTTCTCTCCTTAAAGACTTTCAAGCTAAAAATGGGAACTGCTATCTAGAGACGGTTGACCATCTCTCCTTTCTTTCCCAAATCCACATGCACTGATCAGAATGGCCCTTATCTTGGGGTTCTGAGTCTGAATATTTGGCGTCCAGTTTCAGTTTGGAGTAGTATTTTGATTAAAAAAACACTTTCCTTATTCTTTATTTCCTGATTGGAGGCCAGGGAAAGCAAAGAAGACTCTATCTGTAGGGAGGCCCTGCTGTTGATCCAGTTTCAATGATGAGATGCTGAATCTCTCCCTTTTGTTCCCCAGATAATCTGGAGGTCGGACTTCAGCTGCAGAAAGGTAAATATGACTTTTAAGAATCTCTCACCTCCTGTTTTAAACTCTGATGCCCATAACCTTAATAGAAATAGAATAGAGTAACGAACAGAAAAATATACTATCAGACACCTTAAAGCTATGAAGGTTCAGTATGAGTATTCCAGAAAACTGAAGTCAGCCTCACTGTGGAATGAACTATCTGGACAAATGCAAAAACGTTGGGCCGGTGCTGAAATGAGCACAGAATTCCTGTCAGGCCAATAACATTGTCCTCTTGTTTTTGAGCAATAATGAATGCGAGAATCCTTCCAAGAAGAAAGAATCCCAAGGTGGTGGCCCCAATTTTTTCATCTTTGGCAGCCTTTGACTCCATTCTAGCTCCTCCACATTGGTGGCTGTGATCTAGAAGAGGCTGCCATTGGCTGCCCTGAGCACCTTCTTGATTTTCCACCAATATTATGGCTGAGCTGTGCTGCTTCCTGTTGCCACGGACCAGGGTACGCTTTTCCTAAGATGCTTTGGTGCCAGACGCAGAGCTGAGCCCTGTTCCTGCCAGCAGTCAATAAGAAGGCAGAGCCAGACAGGGCTGTCCTGGATATTTTGCTGCTGAAGGTGGACTGTCAAAGGGGCTTTCCCTCCTGTCCCACAAGAGCTGCCCTGTGGAGAGCTGGTGGCTTCTGGGAGCTTCTGATGTTCCTCCCTAGAGACCTGGGCAGCCTGCAGATTATGGCTTCCTCAGCACAAAGGAGCCACAATCAGTGTCTTTGAGGGGGAAGTGAGAAGGTATTGTGAGATTTTGGGCTGCATGTGCTTTGGAGAAGATTCAGAATCAGTATTTTGACCCTTGCAAGGACACAGCACCCCTGGGCTATTATTAAAGCAGCCAGACATGTTTCATTCCCCAGCATTAGCCTGAAACACAATGTGGCTCCTTTAAGCGTCAGAGTAGACTCCTAGAAGCAGCAGCATCTTTAGTTCTCCATGCTTACAAAGAAGGGTGGAAAATGTCAGGCTGCTTAAACAATTAGTATGGAGGCTGTGACCTCATGTGAGATCAGAAGCACTGCTTGCAAATAAACTTCAAGGCTTTTGCAGGCTGAGTCTGAAAAGGTTGCCCACCTGGTTCTTGGCACCAGACCTAAGAAAACGCTCCCTGGATTTATAGGGTTTGTACTTTGCAAAGGGTTTGCTCCTCGGTTGCTTTTCTACTTCAGCGTTACTATTATCAATCAGTATGTCAAATTCACTGCCTGACTAAATTGGCGAGAGAGCAAGTCATTGGGAGCAGAGGAATCAGGTCCTGTTGGCCAAAGCAAATGGCAAAGATGGAGCACCAGGAAAATGCCCAGTTGCCTCCATCTTATGGTCCATCAAAATGATGAAAGTAAAGGTCCCTGGATGCTATACAGGATCCTCCCCTTTTGTACATGCATGTGATATCATGATGCTCATACAGAGAGGGTGAAGCTTCATCACACTTCCCTTCCATCAGGGGCCCATAACTCTCGGGACCTCTCTGACTCTGCCAGTTAAGGATTGAAACATGGCAGCCTCTTGCTCTGCCACATCCTCTGAATTAATGCTCCAGAAGGAGTCCCTGTTCACATCTTGGCCCTCCCAGGAACTCACTGAA